GTTTACCAAAAAAAAGCAACTAAAAAGTCACCACCTTTTAAGAATACAAATGTATTTGAAAGAGTATTACTACAGGATCTACACACAGAGTGAAAAATTCTGGAGAAAACAAGATAGGCTGAAATCTCAGCAAGATTAGGGTTTTGTTTTTCAATAAACTGTCTCTTTCCCAAGCAAGAAAGCATCTAGCCTGTAATATAACCTCACACATTTTTGTAGATACTGAATTATGGGGTTTTTCAAGACTAAGAACTTAAAATGCAAAAATTATTGCATAACACAGGAAAATTTACAGGCACTGTAAAATCTCTGGATCCAATTATTCATGTTTTCTTACTCTGCCATTTGACATTAAGAATATTTAGTTGTCACCACATTGCAGTTATATATATAACAAACTGTTCCAGGACAGTCACAGAAGCAGCTCCTGAACACAAGCACTTTTTCATTACAAAGGAATGAGGTTTTTTTAAAAATCTATTATTGCTGGCTAAATAGTTTTTTAGCAAAGTTACATCACAAACTCATTACAGACTCCCCTTTAATGGGCATATGTCCATTAAAAACCTTTTGGACTATGACTAGGTAGCATAAATTTCAGAGCATATTATAGTAGAAAACACTTCCCACTTACACAAGATCCTCACACAGCTGCAAGAGCTAGAAATAAGAGGACAGTATCTGCCCAAACAGTGACTATTTCAGATTTTATTGTCAAATCCTATTGTTGCCATGATGTCTGAAGGCAAGACCACATCTGGCTTCACTAGTCACCACAAACATATGAAGCAGTACATGGGAAAGCACCAAAAACAGTTTCAGTGGAAATTGTTTGTGGCATTAACCAAATTCCTACCAATGGGACTGCTCCTATGACTAAAGACAAAGTGGATCACACATCCATGCACACACATATCCACATGTAGAGAATCTGCTTGAAAGACCTGTGCAGCTTAGTACGGTAGGGGAATAGAAGAGCCAACATCTGATGGGGAAATAAAACTTGTATATTTGGTTATATTCTCTAGGCACAGATAACACTCTGGTTTGACAATCTGCAGGTTCCACCTTTAATGGGATACCTGAGCACAATCAGCAGCAATTCCACTGGTGGAATGCCTTCATTAATGGTTATCCTCTCCATGCCATAAGCAGGTGAAGAGTCATAACACAGTACCTTGCCAAGAGAAAACCATTTCAATTTCACAGAGGCATGTATGTGTCACCTTTGAGTCCTGCCCTCCACAATCTCAATCCAGCACTTTTCTCTGCTATCTATATCAAGCACATGTAACTCCAAACAACCACAAAAAATATAAGTAAACATAGCATGCACATATATAGGCAGATTCTTCTGTAATATCCAGGACCACTTGGCTTAAAAATCATTCCCCTTTCTCCAAAACATACAGTTTGGTGGGCAGGTAGGCTGCAGTATCATCTTTGCTCTTGATGATGTCGTTACACTTGTCAAGCGTCTGAAAAACAGTAAATGTGTCTCCAATGCTGTAGAGAGCAGCGAGATTTTTTGCAAGCAGCTTCCGTGTAGGTGGCCCAGGGGAACTGCTGATGAGTCCTGTTAGCTGTTCCACAAGTTTCTTCTGTTTTTCCTTGACATCTGTCTGTTAACAGACCAAAAATAAATAAGTAGTTTAATTCTCTGTGTTGCTTCTAACACCCAGAAAAATCTACAAGAAATGGAAGTAAACTTTATACCACTCCCAAGTGCATGCAACTCAGCAAACTGCTTGTCTCAGAGATATATAAGATACATTCAATGACAGCAGACAGATGCTGAAGGTTCAGAATTAGCTGCTGTCCTATTTAATTTTTACTTTTTAAAAATACTTACCAGCTGCCTACAGACTGCCTACAATTAAACATTTAAAACTACAAATTAGCACAGACTCTTCAGGCTGAATCTGAAACCACACAGGTACCATCTGGTCATTACCTGTAAACCTTCTCTGGCATGAAATTAATACAAATGCTTTTTAAAAGAAAGTTTATTTAGAAATAAGGGGGGAAAAAACCCATTAAATTACCTTGTTAGCAGCTACTAGCACTTTATCCAAAAATCTCAACCATTCAAAGATAAAAACTGGTCTCTTTGCTTCTGTGATTTGAGCTAATGCTTCCTCGTTCAGTAACAAACTATGAGCCAGCTCCATAATGGGTTGAATTCCAATTTTATTGCAAATTTGTGTAGAAACTCTAAAATAAAAATGTAAATATTAGTATAAAGTACAGTACATCAGTACAAAGCGCTGAAAATCAAATGAAAATATTCAGCTTGCTCAGACTTGTCTTAGCTAAACAGTCCCACATAAAAGCTACTCATATACTTACAAACTGAGTCCATTCATTAGTATTTCAGGGAATGGAGCTGTAAACTGCAAAAAGAGCACCTACAGGCAATTTCAGGGTACAAACTCTCAGCCAAGAAAAATATACCAAAGTCCCTGTTTAAAGAAGGTAAAGAAATCATCTCATTGTCTCCACTTAGAAGAAAGAGAAAAAGGATTGTTGCAAGTCAAGACCCTTGAGCACACTCCCAAAACTGGGGCATGGATCTGCCCCCCTTCTAACACCCTTCAACAGACAAGCTGAGAAGATGAGCCTACCACAAGTAGGAATTTCTAGCCAACGCAAGTTTGGGAGAAGCAGGAACAGGGATAGGATTTGGCATCACTGACCTATGATTTCCCTGCTTTGCTTTATGTGCTGGACAAGCAAGCACCCTGAAATCCAGCAAGCCTGAGGGGTGACAGCCCAGAACACAAGCAGCAGCCAAACTACTGGAGGTCTCCCCAGCAGGCAAATTCCTGCAGATGGAACACTGGTGATCCTGCTCAATCAAGGGGGGCTGGCATCAAAGCACTACCAAAACACACTGGCAGTGTAAGCAAACACTGCCAACTTCATCTTAGCAAACCACCTGAAGAAATGCATAGCTACTGAATGCAGAGCTGACAGAAGGAAAAAACCCCACAAAATTTATCTAAAATCACATTAAATCAACCACCCTCAGCAAAAAGAAACCCAAGAAGCAAAAAAGCAACCCAACCTCAAAACCTGAATACAGAGATGCTGAAACCAGGATCCCAGGCAAAACAGAGAAAGCGACACAACTACAGAGTATTATGTAAGACATCAGTTTTCAACAGGCATCATCTTTTGACAGCTGCACTGCTCCACTTTTGCTCTCAAGAGCTCTCAGCTGCTTCCTCATTCATGATCAAACTCAACAAATTCTTAAAGTCAAATGAAGTGGCTTAAACTGATTTTTTTAAACAGTCCCAAATGAGACATTAGTAATGTGACATATTGTGTTATACTTCTAAATTCACCTTAATGATTTGGTCCTAATGAAACCAAAGCATCACAATCTCTTTATGCTAAAGTTGTTCCCTGCACTTCAGCACTTTGCGTATTTTTCTGCATACAGTTCCGGCAAAGATGGAAGAGCCACATATAGAAAGATGCACATACAGCCCGCCCTAACTCCTCCAAAGACATTTTATGTTGGTTTTGTTTTGTCTTTGTCTTTACATTTATAAAGAACTGAGAAGGCATTGCTTGTCAGTAACTCAGACACATCACCTCAAAACACCTTTGCATGAGAGCAGAGAGTGATGCAATGAATGATGGCACTGTGATTCTCTGGATATCATCCCAGAGATCTGCACTGCTTGTCACACCCACGCAGCACATAAGTACCATAAGCACTGTTGGACAGCACAGCTCATTATTCCTTTTCCTCCCCACATAAAAGGTTTTATTTGTCCCTGGCCATAAGAGCCACGGACACCTTATGCACCTTCCCCACACTCACGTACTGCTTCATCGAAAATGTAGGAAACACAGGCTCTAAGCAACAAAACCTGCACATACACATACAAAGCACCAGCTGTGCTGGTGAAGCACAAGGCATCAGACACAAGAACAATTACACAGATATTCAGCTAACTGAAGAGTCAGTCTAACAGAGAGCTACTTATGTAGACGATCCAAAGCTCACTGACACTGGCCAAAGGTTTGCTCCAAAAAGCAGCGAGAAGCATACGGAGTTCTACCGATCCTGGCAAGGATCCTGCTGTGAATGTTACAAGAAATAAATACACTGTGATCTCCCACAGGATGCAGAGCCAAAACCGATCAAAGCCAACCAGCAGCCAGGGAGGTATGTTGCAGCATTACAGAGATACGAAAACGTTCAGAGAGACTACAACTCCTTTCTATTCCCCAGCTGTTTTCCGATGCCTAAATCAACTACTTGTGTCTTCATCACGCGTGCGCTTCAGTCAAGTGAGAAAGCCGAGAAACAGGCAACTTTAGGCGAAGTCACACGCTCCCGAAGGACTCCATCAGGAGAAAAGGTTTTCGCGCCTGGCTCCCCCTACCCGTATCGGCTACTGTAAAAAGCTGTAGCAGCTCTCAGGGCATCACGCCTGCCTCCGAAACCCCCTCAGGAGGCACGGCAGCGGTGCGGCGCCGGCCGTCAGGGATCGCTGCTCAGGCAATGCCGCCGAGGAGCCGATGCCGAGGGAACGATGCCCGCAGCCCTCCGAGCGCGCAGCCCGCGCGCACACGCGCACACCGACCCCGCACGCCGCCGGCCCGAGGGGAAGCGCGGCCCCTGCCCCCGCCCCGCCGCCGGTCCCCACCGGGCCGCTCACGGTCACTTACGCTCCTCCCGAGCGGCGGCCGCGTCCCGCCAGCTCCGGGCTGCACTAGGCGCGACACCGCGGCCCCGGGGGCCGGTCACGGACAGGCGTGGGCGCGCTGCGCCCCGCTCGCCCTCGTCCGCGGCACCATCACCGGCGGGCTCGGCCGCCTCAGCCCCCGCCGTGCCCGGGTCCGGCGGGCCAGGAGAGGCGTTGAGGGGGACACGAGCGGCTCTGCCCCAAGCGCGGCCCCGACGCAGCCCGCTCGCGCGGAGCCCCGCGGCCGCGCAGCAGGAAGCGGCAGAGGCGCAGGCGCCAGCGGGCGGGGACGGCCCCGCGCAGGCGCCGCGGAGCTGCCGGGCCGGGTCGGGCCCGGTGGGTGCGCGGTTCCCGGGTTGCTCCCGCGGCTCTCCCGGCTCTTGGCGCTTGGCTGCAGCTCGCCGGGGCTCCCGGGCGTGGAGCGGCGTCGCGGCCTCCCGTGGTCGGCGGTAGCGGAGCCCGGGAAGACGCGCTGTGGGCTTGGGGGCGGGCGCGGGTGCCCCGGCGCTGGCAGGGGGCAGCCCAGCCCGGCCCGGCGGGTTCCGGTGTTTTCGTCCCTCGGCCCCTCCGTCCCCCACCTCGCAGGGGACGCACAGAGAAATAAAATGCTCGGTAACACGCACTGACCGTGTCCATAGGCGAGGCGTCGGCGTAGAGGCGTGCTAAGCATGGAGGGAGATGAAGAGGAGGACTATATGTCTGATTTATTTATTAAGTAAGTAGGTAGTTCTCTTTTTTCCTACCCCTCTTAAGTGATTGTAAACCTGTTAAAAAAATCAAACCCACGCTAATATTTGCTGGAATTACTAACTCGCAGGCAGGATGTCAGGCCAGGTTTGCCCATGGTGAGGCGAGTGAAGGAAGCTATTCAGAAAGAAGAAAAGCAAAAAGAAGCCAATGAGAAGAACAGACAAAAAAGCATAAAAGAAGAAGAAAAAGAGAGACGTGACTTGGTACTGAAAAGTGCATTGGGCAATGAGAACAAAGGCTTTGCTTTGCTCCAGAAGATGGGCTACAAGAGCGGCCAGGCCCTTGGGAAAAGTGGTAAGTTTGTCACTCTCTGGAAGTGGTGTCTGCATTCAGTTATACCTTAATATTTTATAGATTGCAGCTGTCACTTCATTTGTTGACAGGTCCATAAGTGCCTCTTGGAGAGCCACAGCATTACAGAACTGTGAGGGTGCTGTGGCAGAACAAAATATGAGAGCAAATCCCTAAAACTGAAGTAAAAATAGTACAGGGTGTTGAGGGGATGCAAGGGAAGAGCAGCACTTGCAGCTGAGTAAGTGAAATTGTGTACCTGCATGCCTACAGGAATTGCATTAAGGATGTTTTGATGGTTTTGCAAAGCTAATAGCGTTCAAAAAAACTTTCAGACCCTCTTGAAACTTATAATTGGATTTTGAAAAAGGAACAGCACGCACTGGCCTACCCTTATGAAGCCTGAATAGACAAAGTAAAATCAGTAAAACAAGGAATCAATAACTGCTGTGCCAGTTCAGCGACTCTGGCAGACAGTCACAATGAACTGGCCCAGACAGATTGTTTTTATTCATCATTGCTATGAGATTGCAGAATTAAAAGGCTCCAGAAGGTGGTAACAAAGCAGTCTTCATCACAGGTATCTTACACCTGCCACGTCAACACATTTTATTTCAGTTTGGTCCTGTCACAAAAAGGTTACATAGGATTCCAGCAGAGGAGCCAAAAAAGAGAGGCAGTTTCCAGTACAGCTGTGTCATTTGTAGTGCACTAAATGTATATTCATTGGGAAGTTTTCAACTTCCAAGCAAAAAAATCACAATAATGGCAAAAGCAGCTTGCCTACTTGAATATACTGCACAAGTCACTGTTTGAGAAAAACTCAGGTTTTTTAATTGACTTTTTTTTTCTCTCACAGGAGAAGGCATTGTTGAACCTATTCCTCTGAACATAAAAACAGGTTTGTGGTATTTTCTGATTTATTTAGGTGGATATCAGAGCTTCTCAACTGCTTACATTCATCTTTTAAACTTACATAGGCAGAAGTGGGCTTGGTCACGAGGAATTAAAAAAGCGAAAAGCTGAAGAAAAACTGGAAAACTATAGACAAAAACTCCATATGAAAAAACAAGCAAATGAACAAGCTGCAGATCAGTTCAGGTAAAGTCATACGACTGATATTCCAAGGAATGTCTAAATAGCAGTTATTTTTATGCTTGATGTTTGGTTATTCTTTCAATGTGCTAGTATTTTTGAATGTTTTGAATGAAGGGTGAGAGGTACAATACAGAGTAACTGTTTCTCAGTTCTAAAGCAAAAGTAGATGAACACTGTAATGCTAAAAGCATGTGCTGCACTATTTAATTTTCTAATTGTTAATAATGCAAATAATATATATACTAACTTTTCTCAAGTCATATACAGCTTTTTTAATTGGAGAAACATATATTTTGAAATAGAAAATCCACAGATACTCCTAAGCACTGTTGGTACAATAGTTTTAAAAGTCAGAGCACATTTTTAAAGATGCTATTGTTTTGGTTTTCTCCTGATTTGCTTGTAATAGAGAAGAGAAGCTGAGGGAAGGCTGTAGCTTTTGCAGATGTTTAGTGAACCACTTTTTTATGTCTTAAGAAAACCTAATGAAGAAACAGTACCATGGTCAGAAAAAGTATCTTAAAGGTATCATTCCCAAGAAATACAAGTGTGCTCCCACAGAAACAATGTCAGAATGACTTCTTAGCTTTAATGTTGTTCAGAAAATTAGTAAGAATAGAATCTTAGATTTTTGGGTTCTGTAAAGCTGTGGACTGTAATGCATTGTCAATGTGTGTCTGTCTGCTTAGTTACCTCTGCTTGTTCTTAACAGAATAAGATTCAAAACGAAACAAGGAGAACGTAAGATGGAAGGGGACCTGCGAAAAAGCCAGAGGGCCTGCCAGCAATTAGATACACAAAAAGTGAGACCTGGGTGGTTTTCTGGAGGGTTGGAAGGAAGACTTCAGAGGTCAGAGATACAGGCTGCAGTGCAGTGGTTCAGTTCTTGGAAGTTCTCTAAAATTTTGGGGTAACTTGCTTAAATTTTGATGTTTGGCAACACTTGAGCCCTCTTAAAATATTTCAAAGTCAATGTTTGTACCATCAAGATAGTTGAAGGTGCACAGCAACCTGATGGTAACTTACATGAGGACCTGTTGTTTTGCTTATGCATTTTTTTGGTTACTTGTGAGCTGTTTGCATATCTTCCAGTAGCCAGTATCAGGCTTTCCTATATAATGGTGCTGTTTGCCTCAAGTGAGGGAGCAACATCGTCACACAGTGACTGACATTGGGAATGGACTCTGGAAGTCATCGTGTTCAGCCTTCCTCCACAAGCAGAGTCACTTAAAGCAGGTTGTCCAGGACCAGGCAGATCTTTTGTACCTCCAAGAATGGGGATCATCATTGAGAGAATCAGCAGATTCACTAGAGTTAAAAAAGCAAAGAATCCCACAAAACTAAGTGCCTTCCACTTGCAAGGAATAATGTGGGTAGTAGCAGTAAAGTACTATAAATTTGAAAACTTAAGGTTTTTTTCTTCCTCTGTTAACCAGGTAGAAGTCAAGAACACCTCAGAAGTTTTGCTGAGATTGTTCTATACTGCTTAGTTTGCTTCAAATGCAGTCAGTTGAATTAAGCTTAGATCATCCTTGTTTACTTTTCTTCCTTCAACTTTACCTGAGGTGAATTAGGAAGCACCATGTGATCTCTTGATAAAATAACTTGGGGCATGTCTTCAACTGATAGTAAGGGTATCTGCTCACAGGCTTGGTGTGAGATTATTACATTGTTGTGTAGTTTTGCACATACCAAACAGATGAAATAGAATTAGATGTTAGCATTGGCCTGCATTCCATTGTTAAAAAAAAAAAAAGTGAAAAAAAGTCTGGTGGACTGCTATACTTACCTACAGCTTTAGTAATTCTTGGTTATACTATACGTGCAAGTTTTAAAGGCTAACTTTCTAGAAATTAGTTTTATCCAGCATTTTACAAGAAAACTTACAAAGACAGATAACTTCCATTTAAATCCCTTGTTACTTAAGGATATTGGTGTTCCCAAGGAGACTTGGTTTTGGATAAAACCTGAAGAGGAAGACAAAAAGGATGAGGAAGACAAGGAAGATGAATGCACAAGCTCAGACTTAAGTGTAAGTTTAAGCTCTTCAACTGAATTAATTGCTCAATTCAAAATTAAATTTAATATTCCTTGAAACAGTATGTATGAATACATGCATGTATAAAGTGTATTTCCCACACTGTAGTAAAGGGCCTCTTTGCAATCCCAGAGCAGTGACTTCTATAGCAGTTACATGATAAATTATGAAATATTAAACTACTGATATATTGCTCATCTGTTTTGAGGCTGATCTTTGAAAAAATTAGCCTAGAAATTAAATTTTAAACATTTTTTGCCTTAGCCAAGATGCACAAGATCACAGTTATTTGCTTTTGAATGTTAATTTTGGTTGAAGTTTAGAGTCAATAATTTCTGAAAATGCTTCACAGAATATCTCAAGATGGGCAGTGAAAATACATATTTTTAAGAACTAGATTACACAGCTGCTGTTAGCCTTATGTGTTTGATTGGCAGAGATTAGGTGTGAAAAAATCCACACAAGATACCATATACATGAAGTCGGGTAGCTAAGTAATATTTTTAGCTCTTTCTCTTCAGTGCAGATTTCTTAGCTGGAAAGAAGGATAAGCAAGCAACAGCCATTAACTTTCCAGAGATCATTAATTCCTGTGCACTCTTCTACAAATGTGGGAAACTTCATGTCTTACTGAGCTGCAGTATTGTGTAGCTTTTCCATAGCATTAGGTTAAAGACTTTGTTTTAACAAACCAGTATCAAAGTGGTTTATGTCATGTGAGGCCCAAGTCATCACATACCCGTACTTATCTCTAGGTATCAGAAAAGCTACACATCCTGACGGCCTATTTGAGAGAGGAGCATTTCTATTGCATTTGGTGTGGAACAACCTATGAAGGTGAGAGTGAACCAAGCTTTTGTAGGTGCTTTACTTTGCTTATGCAGCTAGACTCCAGCTGTACAGTATATCCTTTGTTTTTCTCTTACTTCAGCTTCTGAATCTGCAGAGAAAATTTATCTTCCAGGCCGCTGGTTTTTGCACAAAGCTTGGTATATAATGTTGTTATGACTGTTAGCCAGTTTTTAGGTTTTTAGCCAAAGCAAACAAACAAGAAAAACCCACACACACGCAACAAAACACAGCAAACCATATTGAAATTTATTTAAACTCATATTAAAATTTAATTAGTTTTGAGAAAACATAATTCAGATGTTAAAACCAATATCATAAAAAGCTGGCACATGTTTCTGAAACAATTAGAACACCATCCAGTTTCACAACACTAAAGAGAGTAGAATTTGTGTTTGCTGTTTTAAAACAAATTTGAGACTTACTAACTTGTAAACCTTGAATTCTATTTAATCTGTTCTACAAGGATTCTAGAAATATTTCTGGCAACCATTTTTCCTTCCCTGAGCTGCAATTACTCACTTTTTTCCTGCTTACCCTATAGACTCTGAAGATTTATCTTCAAACTGTCCTGGAGACAGTGCTGCAGATCATGACTAAAGCCAGTCTAAAGGAAGAAGCCCTAGATAAGTATGTATAACTCATAGTACCTTTTAAAAGCCTTGGAGCTATGCCATACTCAAGAATTCTTACCAAAGTATGCAGAAGAGTTTAAGTTGACAAGCTAAATTAATATTTTCTGTTTGATGCACAATTTAATAGGAATTAAAATTTGGTATTTGTAATTGAGAGGTAGGTTGAGTTTTTCACAACTTTATGTGTTAGCCAACTGGTAATAAAATTCAAGTATGAGTAAAGGCATGAATATTGGCCAATCATTTTATTACAAAATGTGTTAAATCAAGTTTTTTCATCTTTACAGAGATGCCTAAATACCAGACTGATTTTTCTTACTATCTTAAACTTCGTGGGGGGGAAAAAAAACTTGTGAAACGTGACAGTGACATCACTGAACGAATATTCTGTTGTATATAAAGATGCATATTTTCCATAATTAAATAGAATTAGATCATGATGGTGGATTTTCGTTTTTTTACTTAAAAGTACACTTTAACTGATATTTTATTTTTGGGTAACAGCAGTTGCTACTATAACTAGCCATTTATAAAAAGTTAGTGCTGAAGTATACAAATACCATGCAGGGAAAATATATCAAAATCTACTGGAACAAGCTACTGTTACAAACTGGTACAGTATTACTTAACAGCAAGAAGGTAACGATACTACTTTGCTCTGTCCAAAAACCGTAAAGGAAATGCTACCCAGAGATTGTCCATTTTCATATTATGAATAGTTTTATAGAATTGTTTAGGTTGGAACACATCTTTAAGATCATCAAGTCCAACTGTCTGTTAATTTTATCCCAATAGATTAAAGAGAAGAGAAAGCAGAAATGGTGCTATTTTGTCTGTAAAGATATATAATTTCTCACAGATCTGGACCACTGCAAAGAAATACTAATTAGTTTGGCACAGTGAAACACACTGTGAATTCCAGTCAAAGATAAGGTTAGGAGAGCATAAAGCCCTGATGGAATTCATATGGCCAGGGATGTCAAGGAGAAGATCAGAGTCAAGAAAATCTAAAGAACCTAGAGGTGCACAAGTCCATGGGACCTGCTGAGCTGCATCCACTGGTCCTGCGGGAACTGGCAAATGAAGTTGCTTGAGTTGGAATTGTTCAGCCTGGAAAAGAGAAGGCTCTGTGGAGACCTTAGAGCAGCCTTTCAGTACCTAAAGAGAGCTGAAAGGGGACTTTTTCCAAGGGCATGTAGTGACAGGACAAGGGGGAATGGCTTCAAAGTGAAAGGTTGAGATAAGATGTTAGGAAGAAATTCTTTACTGTGAAGGTGATGAAGCACTGGGACAGGTTTCCTAGAGAAGCTCTGGATACCCTGCTGCTGGCAGTGTTCAAAGCCAGGTTAAACAAGGCCTTGAGTAATATCATCTACTGGAAAGTGTCCCTGCCCAGGGCAAGGGCGTTGAAACTGGACGATCTTGAAGGTCCCTTCCAACCCAAACCATTCTATGATTCTATATATTTCATTCATGATAAAAGAGAAAAAAAGAAAGCAGTGTAAGGCCTTACAAAAGTATGTAAAATCACATTCTTATTTAGCAACAAATACTTGCACCAGAACATCAGTAGTTTCCCTAAGAATACAAATACCTTCTTTTGTTTTATTTATTTTAGAGCAGTCACCCACTTTTAACTCATTATCATTTCAGAAAAAGCATACAGTACTTTACATATTTGCCTATTTTTTTTGCTTAGAAATCTCTGCTCATTTGCCTTTATGGAGTTATGTTGACCCCACATCAATGAACAGTTTGACAAGATAAAGCTCACAGACAAGCACCTGAAGGCCCAATGTGCCTGTCTTTTCACCCTGCTCCCCACACCACACACAGTACTTGAAGTTCAGGCAAGGCTGAACTCTGAAGGATACAAATGAAGAGTAGCAGAGAACCTGCTGTTCCCTTTTTTGAGGCTGGCAGTGGGCACACCAGAGGTACTAAGTACAGTTACTAAGGGTTAGGCATACCTCAGTATTACAATAAGGGACTAAAACCTAGAAGCATGAGAATGTTTAAAGTGCTCTTTCAGCCTTGGATTTCAAATGGTTACTACTGAGGCAATTTTCCTGTAATGATGAGAAGTTTCCTATATTAATATCACCTTGAATGTTCCTTTCAAAAAAGACAACCATAAAAACCTAAAGTTTTCAAAATTGAGATTTGTTCTAAATTAGATTTCCTAGAAGCTGAATGTTTAACATTTAAAGAAATCCTCATTTTACAAGTTGAAATTCCAGAGCACTGAAGGTGCTAAGTCATCAGCAACTGTGAAGAGATAAGAAAACTTAAAGTACTGAAATTCAGTGAAGAATAATATGCACCTATTCCTAGTATCTTTTCTGCCAAAACCACTCTTGGTACTAATAGGAGCATTCCAGTAATAATTAACAATATCACTGAACAAATCAGAAAGGTTTGAGTCACATACCACCAAGACAGCAGTTCTTCCATGGAAAGCAATAGATAACCTTAAGGGATAATGGATTCAGCACATGCAGGGATTTGGCACAACCCAGTTAGCATTTTAGCAAATCAACAGGATCTTCGAGAGGAAAAGGACTGGTATTGTACATACCAGTCCAGTTCAGCTACAACCTATGTTTCCAGGTAAAAACTGAGTGTGATTCCTTGCAGATGAAGATTCTTGCAGATGAAGATGAAGATTTCTTGCCCTGCCCTGGTTGCAGCCAGCAGACATGAATGGTGATGTGGCCAAGGAAAAGACACACCCCAAGTCTTGCTGTTGCTTCTGACATCTCTTGTCATTTCATCAATTGTAATAAATTCATCAAACTCTGGATTTAAACACAGTGTGAAAGGACATTCAATAAGAATAATTTCTAAGTGCCTTCTCTTTATCAACAGACTTAACAAGGTCAAGTAAATGAGATACAGTGATTCTTCCTGAAGGGTCTGTTGAAAGCATCTTTCTGATTATGGATGCCTGCAAAAAAAAAAAAAAAGTCAATAGTTTGGGTTTTTGGGTTTTTGTTTTGTTTATTTTTTGATTAATACAGTACTCAAAAAATATATTAAAATCCCATACCTCTGTTGGAAATTGTAAGTTGAAGTGCACTGGAAGCACACCTTCTCTAACAGAAGGCCATACCTGAAATTATTAAAAGAGAATAGTTTTGGTATGCTTTCATTTGTTATGTTTTGCATCTCCACTTTATGACCCCTATAGTTTACTGAAGTAGTTAGGAAAACACAAATCTACAGGAAATGTAAAGCTTCAAAAGGTAACTGTAAACAGTTTGGAAGTTGGGGCTTTTTTCATTTAGTTGTGCTTTGATTTGGTTTATGGACTTTTCATCAACTATTATCCATTTCTAATCTTAAAAGCTTCACACACAACAATGACATGTTTGTTTCAATCATCCTCTATTTCAGAGCCATTATCTAATTTAAAAGTAATGGATTTATATTGTCTAATGACATTGAAAGAAAAGAAAAAAGCAAGACAACTGAATTTTTGTTTGCAAGCCAAGCAGGTGTGCTTCCTTCTTTTTATCATATTCAGTACCACACATTTATTTCTATGTCATTGTACAAAATGCTACATGGACTTCAAAGCAGCTAACGAAAGATTTGTCATTATATGCTATGGAAATGACTTTTGGTTAACCTTTTTTTTTTTCTTTTATATGACACTGTCTTTCACAACATCCTGACAGGCAAGCTCAGGAAGAGCAGGCTGGACAAATGGATGGTGAGGTGGACTGAGACCTGGCTGAACAGCAGGTCCCAGAGGGTCACACTCAACAGCACAGGGCCTAGTTGCAGGCCTGTCACCAGTGGTGTCCTCCTAGCTTCAGTACTGAACCTAATATTGTTTAACTTGTTCATCAATGACCTGGATGAAGGGGCCGATGCCTCCTCAGCAAGTTCACTGATAACACAAAGTTGGGATGAGTGGCCAATGCCCCAGAGTGCTGTGCAGGCCTTTGGAAGGACCACAACAGGCTGGAGAGCTGGGCAGGGAGGAACCTTCTGAAATTCCACAAAAGAAAATGCAGGGTCTTGCACCTGGGCAGAAATAATCCTGGGCACCAGCATAAGCTGCGGGCTGACCTGCTGGAAAGCAGCTCTGTGAAGAAGGACCTGGGGGTCCTGATGGACAACAAGCCATCCATGAGCCAGTAGTGAGCGCACTGGAACAGATTGTCCAGAGAGGCTGTGGAGTCCCCCTGACTGGAGGTACACAGGACACAAGTTCAAGTAACATGCTCTAGGGAACCCTGCTTGAGGAGGTGGGTTGGACTAGATGACCTCCAGTGACCCCTTCCAACTTCACCCATTCTGTGATTCTGCAAGTGGCTTTCTGGGTAAACAGAGCAGTCTGCTTAATTAATTTGCTGTTAACTAGTGTAATGTCTGCCTGAAGATGACATTCATGACTTAGCTGTGTATCCTGAATCATCAGCTATTCCTATAAGCCTGGCATAGCAAGCCCTTTACAACCACTATCCAGTAAAACAATAGCTCCCATGAACTTGGAGTTTTTTCCCCTACTCTAGCAGTAGCTTTAGGCCTGTGACCCTACATGCTGGTGATCATCAAATGAACCAGTTATTCAGCACAGAATAATCCACTTTGCTTTTGCATGATGCTCTTACAGCAGGGCTTGCCAGCACTAAAGTTTATCATCCATTAAATGAAAATCTTTCTAAGCTAATGGAGCAGCTGAAGACCATTGTAGGACTTTCCATCCACATAACTTCCCCACCTGCCTGCAGAGCACAAGATTTCTATAGTTTAAGGAAATTATGCTTTTCCAACTCTAAACACCATGGAACTGTGCATGCATTTGCAGTCAACTGTGAGCAGGAACAGAAGGACTGAGGAAGTACTTCAAGGTGGCTGGAGAGAGCCAAGCTGAACAGACACACTGGTATGATCTTCTCACTGGAAAAATGATCTGATTAACAGTGTTCAAAATCTGAGTCCAACCACAATTACTTCAGACACGATGCCCAGCAGCTACATCACTGTCCTACCAATATGTAGGTTTGCACATAAAAAGCTCAAAGCACATACAGGACACCTTTTCTAAAAAAGCTTAAGTAACGAGAGGTTTCTTTTTGAAATAATATCTGTTTCACTTAAAGAAACCTGTTCCAAATCACTTTTGTTTTCATCTTGGAAAACTGCAAGGGTTTGGATTTGGTGGAAACTCTTCTTGCTCCACTGTGCAGTGAAGACAAGAGCATGGCAGAGACAAAACTCACCTATCCATAATAAAATTAGAAAAATACTCCCTTTAAGTTTCTGATCAAAGAAAAAGATACATAAGAAACTTGACATCCTTTTTTGCTTGACTTTATTCTTTAGCATGCTCGGGCTTTAGTGTATATGTAGTAGGACAGAAGTGAAATAAAGTGCAGTATTTCTTTCCTTCAGTTATGACATTTCAACTGAGGTGTGAGGACTTACAGGCTTTATGGAAATGAATTAAGGTAAAAAAACATAAATAGAGATAATACTCAAGATAAAGAGATTCCTTTTAGAATGGAATAAGTGATACCAGAAGCAAGGCAAAACAACAACAGAGGGAGTTTTTAAATTTAAAGATTACATACCTTAGTTTTTTCATGACAAGTGAATGCCGAAAGAATTTCGAACCAGATTAATCCCAATGCATAAATATCTACTTCCTTTCCATATCTGGCCCCAGTCTAGAAAGATTCGAATAGAACAATGTAAGTATCAAATCCAACTGGAGAACAGCACTTCTTAAAGCAAAATTGCAAGTCAACAGAAATTTCTACCCCAAGGCTACAGGACTGGCCCTACTCAATATCCTTCTTAGTTGTTAACCCTTTCTGCCTGTGACCTGTTAAATAGTGGCTGAACACCCTGAAATTAAAACTTATACAGACATATACAGATAAAGCATGCCAATGTTGCCCTGTGACAAATAATGAAACAGAGAAACTCAAATTATGCAATTAACAGGGCCCCTATATTAAAATCTAAATATATGTCTGGCAGCCTGGTTTTACAAGAGCATTCCTTACAGCAAGCAGTGTCAGACTCTATGTTCACAGAGAACAAAAAACTTTACCACACTTGTGGCAAAGCTTTCTCCAGAGTACAGCTAGCCTTTCATAGAGTCATACCAGGGAACTTTAGGCAACTTGCTTTAATACTGAGATTAGGATTGAGAACATCCAGTGCTGAGTTTATAGTGCATGTCTAATTACAGAGACACTAATGCAGCAGGATAATTACCTGTTCTGGTGCCATATACGATTTTGTTCCTCTGTTCTCAGTCAGAGTATCAAATGCCACAGAAGTCACAAGACCGAAGTCACCTATTTTTATTTTATTATCATGTGATATGAATATATTCTGAGGCTATTTTCATATATATAAATAAAAAGAAAAAAAAAATCACCAAATGACCAAGGTTTATCATCAAGCATAATCAGCCACAGAAGGGTTTCCCATAAAATTTGATGATTGTTCAGGAAGTACCATTAAGAAACTGATGGTATGAAAAGAGGAATAAGTTAAGTGAATTTTTAAAAACACAAACTAGATTTCAAGTAGTACATTCTGCAGTAACTGCACCTTTTTTCCACTAGCTCAGTCATAACTGTGTCATGCTTTAACTGCTCTTCAAATACACTGTTCATATAACAGTCTATATCCCAAAGTACTTTTCACTCTTCAGTCCTAGCCAGAACTTGATACACTTAGGCAAAGCATTTAGTCTTACATGGAATTCCACTCAAATCAGAGTTTCTCCTAGGCACGGAAAGATCATGTGCACTCAATCAAATGCAGAGTTAAGGCTTACTACAGGTATCTCAGAGTATCATGTTTACATTTCCATTAAACTTCCCCTTTTTAAATTTGACAGTGTCATGGCTTAAGGTGAGTTGGCAACTAAGCACCACGCAGTGGAACGGGAGGGAGAATCAAAAGTAAACTTGTAAGCTGTGTTTAAAACAGTTTGATAATTGAAACAAAAGAAAAATTTAATAATAATGTTAAACAATAATGATAATAAAAGTATAAAAAAAAAACCTAAACAAAACAAGGAGAAAAATTATGCACAGTACAATTGCTCACCACCCACTGACTGACGCCAGATCTCCTTCCAAAGCCCAGATCAGCCCCTCTTCCATGTAAAAAACTAGTCTTTGACTTAAAATAAACACTACCTAGTAGCAACCAAAACATCAGTGTGTTATCAGCATTGCTATAATACTTAACTCAAAACACAGCACTGTACCACCTACTGAAAAGAAATTAACTGTATCCTAGCCAAAACCAGAACATGAAGTCAAACAACTAAAAATAGAACTATATATGCTTCAATGAAGTTTCCCAAAGAACATAAAGAAACTACACTTCTGAATGTTTTTAAAACAAAACCAAATAGCCTCATGCTGTCTTTTACTCAAAGAAGCTCCAGTGGTCCATAAGGCCAGGAGATACTTAATAGGAGATCTTCATGTAAAGAATGCTCTGTGTAGTTGTTCTGTTCAAGTCTGACCATGACTACCCATATTTAATATAGTACCTGTAGCTGGCTACACTATTTAATGACTCTATTCCTACCAGGCACAAATTACTTTAATCTCAGCTTGACCCTATCCTGCAACTTTGATTCTGGGCTATGAGATCTCAGATGGCCAAGCACCTAAGCTCACAGCAGAGCAGAGGAGAGGAGAGCTCCTCAATTCAAATACAGATAGAAGAGTTAGCAGTATAACTTGGTTCTGGTCAGGAGAGGGTTAATTTGTGCAGTAATCAGTCGGGAATACATGGCTAGGACAAGGAGGTTGTTCTATACCACCTCATGTCATTTTCTGAGAATGGGGGAAGGATTCGCTTCCAGGTCATGGGAGCATGGCATGATCAGGTAGGGCTCCACAGTGAACTTTTTGCATGTGAATCACCCTGTTTTTAGACTTCCGGTTTTAATGTTACTGTTTTTGTCTGTTTTATGTCATTGCTGTTTCTAGTCAATTGTTCTTATCTCAACCTGTGCTCTTTACCTTTTGTGCCTCCAGTTCTCTCCAGCCTGCCACAGGGGAAGGGCAAGTGAGCAAGCAGCATGTGGATTCAGTAGGAGCATTAAATTTGAGAATACCACTCCTGATCGACCACAGCCTCATTCCTACCTCAGCTTGTAGAGCATGAGACTCCTAATCTCAGGGTCAAGGGTTTGAATCCCATGTTGAGCATCAAATATGGCGGGGTGTGTAGGGGATCAAGTGAGGCACTTGGTGGGTTCACTGGAGCTGCCTGCTGTAAAGGGACTTCAGTCCCAGCTGTGAAGGTCTCTGGTGGTAGGAATTTGACTGCCAGAGAGGCTCCCGAGTAGTCAGGCAGGGAAGTTAACTTAACCCTAGGAATGCCACCACACTAATGATTTTTTTTTTACTAAGTGAGTGATTTAAATCTCTGTAAGCAACATTATAGCTTCCATCCTGAAGCCATGAAGGCTTTGTCCCTTAGAATCTTTATATTGAAATAAAATCTTCTTATGACTGTGCACATCTAGAGATGTGAAAAAGTCTATCCAAAACTGTAGCATTCAAACTTTCATATGCATACACAAAAGTAACTAGAGCACATTATTATCAAACACAGCATGTATTAGGATAGATAAACTATCCCTTTACAATATGGCAAGAGCCACTTTCTAGACTCAACTTTTCTTTTTCCAATAGGCAGCTTGTGACCCAGTAACACACTGAAAATGCCTGTTAGTTGATGACTACTGATTCTCTGAACTATTGTGTTCTGAGATCTTCCAAGTTCACCTGATTTTAGGATGAGGTTCAGCCAGCTGCTGAAAGAGAATCAATCACTAGCAATATCCAAAGAAGCACACTAGTAGGGTACATAACAGAGTAAGCAAAGACTACACCAATTTAACATTCTCTGAAATTCCAGTAAGTATACTACCTTTAGCCTTTTCTTTTTCTTTTTTTTTTTCTACATACCTTGAGGTCTCGATGAATTAACTCTTTAGAATGAATATATTCCACTCCTTTCACTATTTGTAAAAATTTGTTTTGTGCCATTTCATGATACTTTTGGTCTTTGCTAGTTTTTGCAACCCAGTTTTCCAATGTCCCTTGTTCACAGAATTCCATTTGGATGAAAAGACAGAGAATTTTCTGGTTTGAATTCCAGCTTCAAAAGAAAATTACATACCATATTGAAATTGGCAAGATACAATTCCTCCCAAGTAATTTTCAAAAGCCCTTTTTGCTAATAATTATTTTTGGAGTTACCCAAAACAAAATCTGCAAGTCCCTTAATTTTAAGGAAGATACTAGAGCAATTTGTATTAAATAAAAAGGACTGCAACCCAAAGAACCCCTGCTCAGTTGCTACATATTCCTGGAATATTTCTAAAGTTTTGCTTGCTTTCTAGCAAGTTTCTAGTTTCACACTGGTAGTTTTCTGAAAGCCCAAGTTCTATTTCCCTCATACCTAGAAGCAGGCCCTATCCAGGAAGAAATACCACTGTCCTTGGCTCCATCTGGTCTTGCAGGAACTGCTGCAAGACCCTGACACATGTTCTCTATTCTGCTCAAGAGATACAGCATCAGCCTTCCTATCTTGCCCAAAATGGTCATGTTCTTTCCAACTCTGTCCTGTCAAGAAGGTAGTGCAGTGACCATTTTTGACATTGGTCTGCTAGTCACAGAAACCCTTCTGAGAACTGGAAATCTAGATGAAATATATTCACCCATCTGTCAGCCTCCCACATTCCAGAGAAGCTCATAAGATAGGCTGAGGCTGGAGATGGCAAGGGGAAGGAAAATAGAAAGAGAAGCATGCACTGTTTTTTTCTATGTACACTGTGTGATGAGTGCCCTTGAATAAAGCTGCTCAAAGCACTGAAAGAACAAGCATTAAATGGCTCGGGACTCTGTAGTCTTGAGGTCAGGGCACAAATTACAGTCTGGGACCTCTGCTTTGAGGACTTTTTTTTCTTTTACCCAGTAACTGTTTAATGTAAAATATACACATGATATTGGGGCTCCAACATATTAATGGTTCTGTTTTGACAGACCCTTTCCCCCCATTTTACTGCTTACTTAATGAGCACAGTAATGGAGAGGTATCATGCCAACCATAATTTTGAATCCATTAATATTTTATGGCTCTAAGTAAGTATGGCAGCCTATCTGAAGAGTATGAATTCACAGCCAGTGAAAAAAGCTTACGACAGAAGCTTGGAAAAGTTAATAGTCTAATTTACAAGTAAAACTCTCACCACTGTTTTAACACAAGTCTCAGTGTCAAAAAGCTACCTCTAAATTAAAGAGTATTTCATTTTGTATTCCTTTTCTAAACAATCAAAACTGTTTCAGGCATCACAATTAAAATACTAACTTATTACAAAAAAGAAACTTCTGATCAGGAATTTGGTAGCCAACTGTCAGACAATTTTTCTGTTGTTAATTCTTGCCCCAAATTTTGAGTTCTGCATTCTTACTCTTGCCTATAAATTCATTAAGTTCCATATATTGAAAGAGGAGTGAATTATAAAACTATATCATGTACCTTATTAATCAAGGAAAAAAGATATTTGTAAAATAATTGATAACCTATCAATAGCATGAAGTTCACTACAGCTGTGAAAAAATTTGTGAATGCAAACTATTATTTCAGTTACCTTGAGTCTGGGTACTTGATATAGTCATCCCCTTTCCAGCTGAAATGATAGCGCACTATGTTCTCATGTGTAAGTCTCGCAAGCCCTTGTGCTTCACGCTCTACTTTCCTATCAGGAGGGAGGAAAGAATTAAAAAAAAAAAAGACATTTCCCTATTACAGTGTAATACAAAGTTAAATAAAAGATAGGCTATCAAGTGGCAGGATAGAGGTAATTTTATATTAATTTAGAAACAAAGCATAATATTCTCCTTCATATAAGTTCAAAGGTCAAAACTGAAGTTACAAATCTGATAGGTTTTCTTTCATCTGCTCAGTTATTCAAAGTGCAAAAAGTGTTTTAACCCCATTAGGAATTAAATCCCCACTGAAAACAAAGCTGAAAAAGCAGGTAGCTGCAAACCCACCAGCAAAGCAGCAGTCATTACTTGAAGAATCAGTAAGTTTTCACTATAGTTGTCAGGATAGCAACACCAATGAAAACAACACGTATTTGCAAAGAACACAAGAATCCAAAGGGAAATGTACACATTACACAATTTAAGGGACAAGTATCTCCAACAATTTAAAACATTTTCAATAGATAACCTAAAAAATTAAAAACCTAAAAACTGCTGATAAAATACTCCACTAGATAACAGAAAATTACTCTAAAAAAAATTAAGATCATCTTTCTCTGTTGAGATTTATAAAAGACAAGTAACACAGCATAAGAGTAATGACTACATGGGTCAGATAGAAAGCATTTTCCAATTACAAACCACAACATTTATTACATGGATTTTTTTCTATTTTTTGTAACTATAGTTATTTTGTATTACTGATATGGAAATTTTCCATATAGCCTCTCAAAAGTAACAGGGCTGCTTTCAATGTTTTAAAAATCATCAGGTTTCCTTCACACACATTTTGCAATATTAGCAACCAGATAACTGCTGTGCTCAGGGAAAAGAGAACTTAACACACCTAAAGTTTTACAGCTCCAGCAGAAATTAACCCATTACATCCAAAAATTAACAAAGGTTCAGGACCACTTGCAGGTTCACTTGCAAATAAAGAAAACAATTTACTAGAAAGGACAGATAATTAATAATGAAAATCACCTAAATGCCCCTAGTATTGTTGAAGAGAGAAAATAAAGTATTAACATATTGACTAAGGTTGTCCTAAAACACAGAAATAAACATTCAGTACATACTCTGTGAATTCAACTCGTTTGATTGCATAGGTTTTCTTATCACACTTGGATGTTGCCTTGAAAACATTCCCAAAACCACCTGCACCAATAGGCTCTACTTTTTCAAAATGTTCGAGGAATCTTTGGAAAAAAAAAAAAAAAAGAAAAAGAAAACCACAATTATACTTAATTTTCAATTAAGGATATAAAAATAATCTTGACAGATTTAATGCATCTACTGCAATATCATCCTGCAGTCATCATTTGACCAATCTACAGGTCTAAATCACAGCCTTGGAGATGAAAACAACAAGGGAAACTGACCTTTCCAGGCATGTCAGGTAACTACCCTCACATCTTCACATGAATGACATTTGGTTTAAATGCTTTAAATACCATTGCTTGTCAATTCCTATGCTAGATTTGAAATTTCAAGGAAAAAAAATCTAGTATCAATTTTCTTTGAAAGTTCTTTTCACAGCAGTATTTTCCCTCCTTCTACTGCAAATAAAGAAACAAACCTAGATTCATACATACTGTTCTTGCCTTATAAATATTAATTAAAAAAATCCTTCTTACGTTTTATTGACAGTGTGCGGACTCCCCTTCTCTTCTCCAGTATTTGTGTCCACAGCTGGCACACTTTTATTTGAATGTGACATATTTGCTCCCTCTTCCTTGTTTCTTACAAAATAAGCAAAATTAGCTGCCAATTTTCTTTAACAAGGACAAAAGCAAAATTTATAATGAGCCATTTTTCTAACACATGATGAGAAAAGAAATATACCTGCCAATAGCAGCATTTCTTCACTAGAGATAGAAAAAATAAATTTATTTAAGGTATATATTATTTACAGGAGATAGCAATCTAGAAATAAACACATACCTTTTGGCCTTCGAACTTTGTGCATTTTTCTACATGGAAAACAGAAAAAAAAAATCCTAACTGAGGTATCCTGAATTTTTTCACTGCAGTCTGTTTAAAACATGTCTGATAGTGTATCTAGGAATTGCCTATAAATATGATCATACCTTATGTAAACAATGTCATAAGAATGAATTTTAGCTCAGTGTTTTTCACATATACAAAAACATGCATAACATTATCCTTACAAATAATGAGCTTAGTTTGACCCTTTCCTTGGGAGTACTGGCATTTCTTAAACACTACATAAATTTGATCCAGAAGGAAATGACTAATCGTTAGCATTACTGAACATTCTTAGGAAAAATGCATGTATTTTCCAATGATTAGTGGATAAAACAACAAACTGATGTTACACTCTGACAAGAAGCATGCCCTATTCAGGGTCTAAAATGTAGTTACGTAATATATGTATTTCATACTATACCTGAAAAGGTGAAGGCTTTTCACATATTGCCATGTCATTCATTTTTTCTACCAACTTTGCAGATGAGTCAGCAAAGCCAATGCTATTTTTACTGGAAAATAATGGACTATTTTTAGGTGAAAGTAACACAATAATAAATAAAATTATTCTCACAAGAAAAGAAGTACCAAAAAAAACAGAGTTTTTAAAGCAAAACTGAAAAAGCATTAACAATTATGACTGATTCAAACTACAAGACATCCTGCTTGAAAGCTATTAAACTAACAAGACTTTGTAATATTCTTTATTTCTATTATAAAATGAGCCTATGATATCTAGAAGATAGAAGAATGTAAAAGTGGCAGTGGCACTACAGGTAAACTGCTGTTTCTTAAATCACATATCAAACTTAATGCATATTCAGTTTCTTTTGCTAAGCAAATTTTTCCCTTTGGTGCAAATGAAGATTCATGTAGAATGAAAAAAGGCAGAAAACAAAAAAGAAAAAAGGGAGAGAAGAAAGCAGAATACGGAGCACTGGAGAGTACTCAATTTGAATTATAGAGAGTTCACAAGAGTGTCACAATAGGAAAATGAGTGTTAAAATAGCATGAAATAATGCTATTGAATGAGTATTTACATCACAGAAAAAATGCTTCTGAAAGAACTACCTTTCATAAAATGTGAACAAATCAGAAAGCTCTAAACTTACTATAAGCTATCCCATACAGACTCACATAAAACTGCACAAGTAGAACAAACTTTGCTCTGAAGTTTAAGGAACAGAAGTTAAAATTAGATAGCTTTATACTGCAATAAAATTATATCTTTTATTTAGAACTAGATTACATTACCCTATAAGATGACTAAATACATTGTTATCACTTTAGCAGTGAACCCAACTTACTCTGAGTCAGACTCAGCTGGCACTTGAGAGGAATTGCTGTCTTTGCTAAATGTAGAACTGCCATTAGATCTTTCAGTTTCCATCTGGGGAAAAGAAAAAAAAAAAAAAAAAAAAAGATAAGCCAAGAATGTTTAACAAAATCACATAAACAAATCTCTAGTGCAAAAGATGCCATCCAGAGAGGGCAGAGGGAAGATTACAGGATCCTAAGAGCAAGTTGGTAACTGCACTAAACATTCAAAGCCCTGCAGAAGAAAGGCATCTGCCCAATTTCCACCCAGAGACAGGAAAACACAGGACCCTGTCACAGTGAGGGTACTATACAGACACATTTACAAAATAGAGTCTGGATTCTATTCAAAAACAGGATAAGAGTAAGAGTTATGAAAAGCAAACATCTTTGTTGTCTGCTGCATGTGCAACTGCTGTGTGGAAAATGAGACATATGTAGCCTTTGATATATGTAATCAGCAGAACTGAAAACCTGAGTCAGTACAAATTGACATTCAATGTCTTCAGCATGAAAACACTCCAAAACTCATAACTAAATTAGGGTTGAATTAAAAAAACCATATCCCAAATACTTAGTAGAGGTTCTTCCCCTTCCTCCCACTACCGATGTCATAAGAGCACAAAAGTAACATTAAAAAGCAACAACCTCAATGGATACAGACAACCACCTCACAAAAAGTCAACAAAATTTCTTTTTTTTTTTCATGTTTCCTGGTATTCCATCACAGTATCATGGACACAAAAACACAGGGTTTATGTTTAAATGAAAGCCAACAAATAAACCCCTTTTTTTTTAAATACAGGAGTACTGGACCTTTACTACTTTTTACCAGATTACATTTTGTTTGTTACCCAGACATCACTGAGAATTAATAAAAATTAAAACCAACCCAAAACAACTCAACTAAAATTTAGACTATATGGTATACAGGTTCTGTTTGAGGTAATAAATTTCAGACTTCAACGAAAACAAAAAGATCCATGGGTTTGCAACAAAGGAAGATATTAAGAAAGGCTCCTAGAGCTATAATACGACATTAATTAATTACGTGGTTGACTTAAAAACAATTCTAAAAGCATTTGAAATTCACAGTAATATCCAAATAATTTTAAAAGTACTTAAAAGTAAAAAAGGCTTCTTTCCACCCCTATTCTGCCATTCTTTCCCTTAAACTACCCTCCATTTAGTTAGTTCATATGTTCTGTACATTTCAGAAGCGGGTTTGAATCACTACTGGAATTCTGATAGTTTTTTGCACATGTGGAAATAACAGCTGCCAACATGAAGACAACAGCTGTGCTCTCCAGAGGATGGTGTCAGCAATTGTTTCATAGGACTCTGCCTTGGAACACTACTGAAGGCAAATCCTGTTGATTCTGACCCCTGCTTTTGCCTCTCACATTACACAACAGATTTTTGGTCCAACAGAACACAGTAAAAGAGGTATGTTCATAGCCTGCCAGCTTAACAACACATCTCACAGAAGACAACTGGTATACAAGTTGGAATTTTAAAATTTTTTAAATGTGTGTATCCTTGAATGACAACATATCAGACCTGTTCTGAAACACAGAGAGATATTGATTGTTAACAGTTTGGGTTTTTTAATCCAGAACTGAATAAAGAAGCACAACATAAATTCTACTAACAATATGGATTGTTTCCTTCTTCAGTGGTATACATGGAATATGCTTTTAAATACAACAAAGAAATTGGTTCAAAGACTTAAACTTCTGTGAAAAGTTTAAATATAGCACATAGTGTCAGAGAACTTTCCTTATTTACCTTCTCATATGCTTCCTTTGCAGCAGCTTGTTTTGCAGCACCTAGAGAAGGTCCAGTGCCCCTTCCATACAAACGACCACTAATTGTACAGCTAACAAAATACCTGTAAAATACAACAGGGAATCGAGTCTTGTATCCCATATGACAAGTCTCAATTTATGATTTTTAAACACTACAATCAAGTGACATTACAGAATGGAAATCTGAAGTATACATCTTCAGGACAGCGTTTTCCATATACATTTAATGTAATTAATTATGGTAGGTAACTAATTTGTTGTGCCTTAAAGATAACTCACTGGAGAGCAGCACTGCAGAAGGGCACCTGTACATCCTGGTCCCTGGCAAGTTGAACCTGAGCCAGCAGTGCCCTGGCAGCCAGGAGGGCCAACCCTGTCCTGGGGGCATCAGGCACAGCATCACCAGCCGGGCAAGGGAGGGGATTGTCCCGCTCTGCTCTGGGGTGGCCTCATCTCAAGTCCTGTGTGCAGTTTTGGGTGCCATAATATAAAATGACATTAAGCTATTGGAGAGTGTCCAAAGGAGGGCAACAAGGATGGTGAAGGGCCTTGAGGAGAAGCTGTAAAGGGAATGGCTGAGGTCACTTGTTCTGTTCAGCCTGGAGGAGACTGAGGGCAGACCTCACTGCAGTTACAGCTTCCTCGTGAGGGGAACAGGAGGGGCAGGGTCTGATCTCTGCTCCGTGGTAACCAGTGACAGGACTCAAAGAGAGAGCATGAAGCTGAGTTAGGATAAGTTTAGGTCAGATATCAGGAAAAGATTCTTCACCCAGAGGGTGCCTGGGCACTGGAAGATTCCCCAAGGAAATGGTCACAGCACCAGCCTGACAGAGCTCAAGAAGCTTTTGGATAATGCGCTCAGGCAGATGGTGTTACTCCTCCTAAAGATTCAGCTAACATGACCAAGGATAACTAATGGGAGCATTAGTAAACACAAAAAGTATTAGAAGTAAGCAGGAAGGTAAATTATATCTTACGTGGGAGCATGGGCATCTCCAGTACGAGTGTTAGGATAATGAACTATGTGACGTGTCTTTTGGGAAAAAATATTTAATAGGCTGACATAATCTTTGTTCAGTGCAGGTGAGGAGGTTGTTTGAGTTGTCGTTAACTCTGCAGCTTCCACATTTGAGGGACTCTTATGCTATAAAACAAACAAAACGGGTAACTTGAAAACTTAAGCGTAAAAATACATTAAGATAAACAGTGCACAAGAACTAATATAGCTGCAAGGTGTGTCCACATTTCAAAACACTCTTAAGAAATCCCAAGTTTCCATTAACTGAGTCCTTTGTGGCAAAGGACAGACATCCCAAGCATAATTATTACATTTTGAATAAATGTAAACCTGGCTTTCCAAGTACTACACTTTTGCCTTTAACAACCTCTCACCATGCCTCATCCCACCCTTTTTAGGAAAATATAGGGAACAAGCTGTGAAGAAGGGATGGCAGCAGGATGCTGCTGATGCTCCCGTTTAGCAAGGGCTGCAAACACTCCTGTGCATGTACAAGAGGGGAAAGCAGGATTTTCAGCTGTCTCATGATTAGTCAACATCAGTAACCTATCAGTAGACATGCAGCAATTGTGTTAAAGTAATGACAGTGACACAACAAAAGCCATACAGAACAAGGTAAGGAAAGATTTCACTCAAAAGGTGCTAAGAAGCATTCAAAGTCAAAAAGAAAAATAAAGAACAGCAAATAAAGAAGGGCAAAACACTTGGCAGAAAATCAAGGAGCAAAATTCAAACCTAGACTTAATCAAGGAAAGTTAGAGTATATAACTAGCTCTACTGTAAAGAATATAATAAAAAGGAAAAAAAAGATTAATTATAACAAGTGAAAGCAAGCAATTTCTTTAGCAGAGTGGCAACAGACACACTGAGCAATTCCCTACAAATGTTTTCAAGACATCGAATCACTGAACAATTGTCAAGATATAAAAGGACCACTGCTCACTTTGGATAAACCAAGGCAGCTTAACAAAGGCAAATACATTTCCTTATCCTCCTGTAATAGCCGAGGAGGAAACACAGTATTAGATATCAACCCTATAGGAAAAAAAAGTAAGGAAAAAAAATCTGTGATAAAAAGTAGAAAAGTGATGAATAAAACAGAAAAAGACAGCTTGAATAATTAAAAACTGTTTCAAATTAAACAACATTTTATCAAAAGTCTACTTTCAGGTATTAATCTTTAACATTTACTACATTACATGTGATAGTAACTCCCCAAACTTAATCCTACTATTTACTCACCTCCTTCTTAATCATTTCCCATGCTTCTTTTGCTGCTACTGCTTTTGCTTCTTTTTTACTTTTACCAGTGCCTCTACCATATTCCTTACCATTTATTTTGACAACAACTGTGAACCTGCAATGAAGGAAACTTGTCTAAAACATTGCTACATATATACTTTAATAACCTTATCAGAACTTTGGGGTTTATTATCTACAAAGCACTATAGGATACACTATGGGAAGTACTGAAGCATTAATGTGGTTTTTTTTAATATCAAACCTATGATTATCATAATCTTCAGTATAAATACTTTTAAAATTTTCCTTTCTAGTCACAAATGCATACACTTTATTAGTTCCAACAGTACTTTTAACTGCTTAACTGCTTTTTAAAATAAAAATAATTTCTTTTTAAAAGCATAAGAATGGATGAGGTCAGCACTGTTACAAGCAAGATTGTAAAGCCCTAACACCAAGACACATCTCAGTAGTGACACTACATAGAGGAAAGATTAGCTTATTTTTGTTTCCTGAAACCAGACGTGACATTACACTCACCTTTAACACCCTGTGATGTACACTGCTTAATAAGAGCAAAAACCATGTCTGGTGCTTGTGAGACATGAATTTAAAGGCAGTCATAAAAAAGCCCCACCAAAAAAAAAAAAAAAAAAAAAAAATTACCAACAAACAAACACAGGCCCCAGTCCTGCCTTTCTCTGCTCAACTGCTGATCCCTTCCCTCTCTGTCCCTCCATTCCACAACTGTGCATGGCAACTCCACGAGTCAGAATGCGAATCTGATGCAGCTCAGGACCAACAGCACTGGATCTGGCTGGGATGGGGTTACCCTTCTTCAGGGCAGCCAGAATGGTGCTGTGTTGTGGCTTTGGAACTAACACAGAGTTAATGTTTTACCTACTGCTGAGTAGTGCTTGCAGCAAAGTTCTTTTCTTTTTCCCACTCTGGCTTTCCAGCAAGCAGAGGAGGGATATGTGAGAAGCTGGGAAGAGACACAACCACGGCAGGTAGCCAGAGGGATGCCCTATGGCATCACATTCAGCAACAAAAGCTGGGAGATGAAGGAGGAAGAGGGGATACCTATGGCTATAGTGTTTACCTTCCCAAGTACACACTGGACATGATGAAGCCCCACTTTCTTGGAAACATCTGCCAGCTGATGGGAAGGAGTAAGCAACTTCCTTATTTTGCTTTGGTCACACATCCAGCTATGCTTTGTCTATTAAACTGTCTTTATCTCAATCCACAACTTTTTGCTCCCTTTCACCTTTCTGATTCTCTCCCTGTCCCACTGGGGGGAAGTGAGTAGTTAGCTGGGGGTTTCACTGCCTCCTGGGGTGAACCCACCACTGTGCCCTAATAACGAATGGTTGGATTTCAAACTAATCAGTCCTTACAGATCCAACCTGTCCTGCAGCTGCAAATCCCCTGATGTTTCTGATACTGCCTTTCCACGAAAGGCAACAGAGGAGAAAACAGCAACTGGATTTCTGCCTGTGGCAGCAGCACACACTTGCACCAAGTTAAAGTGATCATTAGAGCCTCAGAGCATCTCTGTGCTTCAGATTGCAGCACAGCATGCAAATGCTCACAGCCAACAGGATGGATTCACACAGTCAAGGTACAGCACTGTGAGCTCCTCTGTGGGAAAATTGGTCTCAAATAGTATAGTGACTTTAGGAACTCACTTTTTTCATTATTCCAACCTCATTTTCCACTTCCCTTTAATTAAATATTTGGGTGGGAAACAATTAAGATGCAGAATGAAGTGCTTGCTCTCATTGTGTAAGCAAGGCTTAACAAGAAATCTTAAGGAGGTAAACAGTAGGAAAAGGCACCCCCTTAGTGTGCCATATACTCTACACATAGGAAACAACAAATTAAAAACAAAACATGTAAGAAAGGTTGTTCTTTGGGAAGGAGTTTGTCAGTCAACCCATACCTAAGTGCTGAATACTACACACATTCAGCTATGACACTGCATCAAAAATACACCATTTTATTTAAGCATCCTGAGGAAATCTGCAGTGCGTCTCCATGACCAAGTTCAGGATTACCTGCAGGAACATTACATGAGTTGGTCACAAGTGAAGAGCTCACCAGAACCCCAAGTTAATAAGTAATTCCCAGACTTGACGTGTTTAGGCAGGACTGGCCTAATTGTCCATTCTCTGTGTTCCCAGACCAAGAAAGCTCAGGACTGAGCCACCCTGGTCTCCTTTAACCTTCTTACATTGTGTCCAGCACTGGCCCTTGCAGACACAGTACTGGAAGCAGCCACAGCACCAGAACCATGATAGGATGGGAGGTATCTCTGCACGTGCCTCAGACAGCTGCAAGGTGACTCATGAGATGGGACACAGCACAGCAGTTAGGGAGCTAGCTCACAACCAGCAGTGGTCAATGCATCCAGTTAGCAGGCAGAACACCGGGAAAGGACAGCATAAGGGGACAGAAGGTTTACAGCACACATCACTACGGGCAGACATGTTACTGTATCCTTGGAATAGCCCAAGTTACCCAGGATTTTCTGAGATACCACTGTCACACAATGGGCTGAATTTCATTTGTGAATGTAGCAGAACACACAGAAAAACAATGAAAAACCACAACAAATGGGATAAACAACTTGGAATGTATGTTCTGTCAGTTCCATGCCATCACTTTTGAAGAATGAAGGTGTTGCTGTGTGATCAGAGCTGTGGTCTTTACTGAAATAAGAGTTAGTTTTTTGAATTACATGAGCCACACGGGTAAAAAAATAAGATAACTATTAACATTTGAGATCCAGATAATATCTATTAATTTATTCTGGGATGGTAGACAGATTTAAGAATAAATCGGCATACACAGTGTTATCTGACAACATGCAACACATCAAAAGAAATGTATTAATTATTAGCATAAGGCTTGTCTTCATGCAAACTAGCAAAAAAATTTTTTTAAAAAAATCACAAGAGGAAATATTACAGATCTTGAGTACCTACAACCTTTGGCAAGGGAAAAAATAAACTGTATCAACGTTAAAAGATAAAATATATTCCACCACCTGTCATTGTCTCTAAAAGGGAAAGCAAAACTTCTCAACCAAAAGATCCTTTTCTTGTAAGAGATGTTAAAAAATATACTACATATTAAATATATTAGTACACAATCAGTTAATACATCCAACCTTTCTGGCTAGAAATCAACAATGCTTTGTAAACACTTTGCTTTGTAGCACTGAAATCATAATTGAAATTCTTGCTGTGACCCAATCCACCTTCTGAGAGGAGATACATAACATACAATAGTTACTACTAAGTAACAGGTGCATTGCTGGCACTTTCTGAAAAAGATCCATCACCCCTGAAATAAGTTTTCTCCTTAAACTGTATCACATGATGTCTTCCCCGTGCACCTACCATTCAATTCATGGTTTCAACCAGCTTTCCCACTACACATGTGCTTTCAGCAAATTAATATTTCTGACTGCAAGCTTTACAGTTTGTTCATTGCAGGAAGTGCCGTGCTAGTTATTGACATACAAAGTAAACTTACTCAGGATCATGAGATGGGCCGGTCACATTGATGGTGTCATAGAGCACTGAAAGTTTATGCGTTTGACAGTAATGGTTGATCTTCGTCATATACTCACGATCCATTTTGACACAATCTTCAATAGGTGCTGCAAAGTAACATTCAAAGATGTGTCTGTTGCTCTAGACACAGAATAAAGACAGTACCTGATCTTCGTAGATGGTCACTGCTATGATATAAAATAGAAAATTGGTGCCAGTAACAAAGTTCATGGGAAACGAATTCGAATTTCGAATTCAAGTGATTGTCTCCGAAAGTTTTGGAAATCATTGCTTGGAATAAGAGTTTTAGCTAGCAGAGCGGAGAATTCAGTGATTAGAGACTTCTTAGCAGATTTCGTGACAGAAAAAGATTGAATCATTCACTGATTTCTGTGGGAGGAAAATAATCAGCAACGTTTCTCCAGAATTAGAATCGGTTCCCGCAAAAGAGAGCCGGACGGCACTGAACATATCCCTTGGAGCGGGGATGACGCCAGGCGCAGCCACACGGACCCAAGATGACCCCAGGCTGCCGTCACCGAGGGCGGCGGGCCAGGCCTGCGCAGCCGGGCTGCGGGCACCCGTCCGGCACGGACCCCTGCCCTTCCTCCCGCCGCCGCCCCGCCGCTACCTCCGAGCCGCTGCCGACGCTCCGGGACCCGCGGGCGCTCCAGCAGCCGGCCCGGCCCGGCACACTGCGCACACCCCGCCCACTTTCGTTTCCCGCGTTAGAACGAAAACGAAAGCGAAAGGCAGCCGAGGGCGGGAGAGCCACGCGGGGAGCGGGTCGGATGTGGCCCGAGGCGGGGGGAGCCGCGCTCTGCCGGCACAAGGAGCGGCGCCTCCGCTGCTGCCCAGCGCTCCTGCGCTGACGGGGAACCGGGGCTCCCAGGCAAGCGAGCGCCTTCGCGAAGACCTGACCCCCGGCCTTGCCCCTGACCCCCTGGCGCCTTTTCCTGTTACAGTAACCACACGCTACAGCTCAGCAGCCCGGCCAGCGGAGAGCAGCGCGCACACAAATACATCCAAATCCCTCAAGCCCAAGAACCCCCGGAGTTTTATATCCTCAGAGTCTCCCCCGGGGCGTCAGTCCCGCTCTTCCTTCTCGTCTTCTCCTGTCCCCCTGCTCCGTGTTCATACAACGCACTGGAGTCACTTTATCCAAAAGGTCGGCAGTCACCGGCCACCCGTTACCCTCAGTTGTCCATTCACCTGGCTGTAGTCACTTGTCTTCATGTCCTTTGTTATCCCAAAGGCTGGGAATTCATGGCCGCTTGTCTCCAGCTCCAGCCAGGAGCCCAATCTGTATTTCAATCAGCGGATTGCAGGCCAAGACACCTGGGTGAGAAGCATTCCTCAACACATTGAGCTTGAAATACATTATGGCCATCACTGAACATGAATGTACTTCATTAAAAATCTCTTACTGGGATAAAGAAAAAAAATCAGCCACCAAATTAATATATTCTGTGGAAGTGGGAAAGAAAAATCTCCAAGATTAGTTTTCCAGAGCTAGATGTAGAGGATGGAGCAAATTATTGCCACTGAGCACACAGGTCACCTACTCCTGATCACCCAGATTTGACTTCCACCCCCTGCAAGGTCTCTCTGCAGCAGAAACCAGACAGCTGTAGAAAAGGAAAACAGCAGTAAGCCTTAGGTCTTCCTCAATATGAGGAAACAGCTTGGGCACCCAGGAAGCTCACCTGCTCTCGCATAGTGCTAACACAACCAAAAAGGAACCCACTGAGACGCCAGTGGAGATGCAGGAAAAATCCACCAGTGAGTTCCAAATGTTGAACTCCTAAACATAATCATCTTGTAGCAAAAAAGGACAAACTGTGATACAAGTTGAATAATTCACAAATTATTATTTATGTATGGACAACAAGTTTTCTTTGGAAGTGTTTATGATGTTTTTCCTTTTTACAAGATACCCAGAGCAATTCCTTGTTTAAAGATACCAAACTGGCATTCTTACATTATCACTTCTAAAATGTGCACTCTATCTTATGTTTCAGTTTGTCTCCTACTCAGGTTTCCAGTGACTGTTCTTTTCCTGGTTCTCAGCTTCTGCAAGGGAATTCCAGCCTCTAGTGAGCCTGCAGAACAAGGAACAGGAGAACAAGGAGAAAGTTGCTGATAGATAAATGGTCCAAATAATCTTTAAAAGCACAAACATAAAGTTAATGTAAATGTTCCTTTTTCCTAAAGTACACATAGGATCCGCCACTCACTGTCTGCAATGCAGGGCTCTCTGAGACAAACACCATCTTCCTAAATAGAATAAATCCTAGAAATTCAGCTATTTTTAAATCACTCTTCTATGTAAATTCTGAAAAACAGTAATTCAGTAGAGGCACATGAATCCACATGCCTAATGCCTTTTCTGTCTTTTCAACAAAACTAGCACATTTTATTGGAAACAACTAGAGTAATTTCATTAAAAATCCTCTTTTTGCCTTAACTACAGGATCGTTAGCCATCTCTGTTTCTTCTCAGAATCCACCTCTCTCCTTGAAGGCTTGTCTTCTGTAGTTTTACTTGCCATACACCAAGCTTTTGGGCATAATTACTTTGGCCTTGCATGTGACTCAGTGTCTTCTATCAGATAAGGAGATTGCTATTAAAGGTGTGGTTTTTAGAACTGAAAGTGACCTGCCGTGAACTTCCAGTTTTTTGGTAAAAGAAACTTTCCTCCAGCTTCGTGAGCTGCAGTTAATGATTAATAGACATTAATCATTGCAGTAAATTGACATTAGCAGTATTAAACACAAATCAAATTAAGAAAATTTGCTAGACAGCTGTTAAAAAATACCTTGTGTTTCTCAAAACATTATCAATGAACAAGAACCTGTTAAACTTCACATTGGGGAAAATCATCAATTCTGAAACAGCCTTTGGTATATACACCTAAAAATCTTGTTCTATAAAGCTGACAAGGCTTTCATTCGAATGCCTTTGAGATTCATTTGCTCTATAAAATATTGACCTTTGGACTTTCAAATGATCCATTATTATACGGATTCTCAAAATAGTGGCGTTACAGAGGAGTTACTGACTTTGGCTTTATTAGGAACACTTGGCTGATAGATGATTTAATCCCCATGTTGTGGCTGCTGTACCCAGAAGTAACTACAGAAGGACACGCTCCAGAAGGTAACAGGGAAGCTGGGAAAGCTGAACTGAACCGAATCTTTTGCGGGCGCGACCTCCTCCTCCTTCGTGCAGGTCTCTGTTCACAGAATGCTTCGGAGTGAAAACCTACAGACCTCGGCATCTTTGGGCGCCACGCTGCGACCCCGTGGAGGGTCCTGTTTGGCCTTTCCCAAGGCTGGGACAGGCTTCCCCAGCGGCAGCAGCCGCTGGCCCGGGGCTGGCACAGCCGGCCAAACTGCCGCCAACAGCCTGGAGCGGGCAGGCCCGCCCGGGTGGAAGCGCTGCGGGGGAATTCTTTCACGCCAAAGCTGTTCCCTGGCAGCACCTCAACAGGTTATTTTCCAACCAGCTGCCCCGTTGCCTCATCCAGGAAGCATTCCTACGCAGAAGGAAAAATCCAAAGTAAAACACCGAACGTCGAAACACACACCCCAAATACCGCGGCGCGGGCGCTCCCACGCCACGCCCGGCGCCCCGCAGAGCCGCTCCTGCTCCCGGGCTCAGCCGCCGCCCGCCACGGCCGGCACGGCGAGGGGCGCGCCGCCACTGCCGGCGGCAGCCGGGGCACGGCAGCTCCCGCGGCCTTGCTTCCCTGCCCGGCGCCATCCCCAGCCCTCACAGGCTGCTGGGATTCGGGCAGGCTCTCCTCATAGCCCAATACAGAACCCTGCGCGCCTCCAACCCTCCTTTTCTGGGGGGCGGGAGGGGCACCCGGGAGCGCCGAGCTCCGCCCCCGCTCCGCGGGCCTGACGGGAGGGGCGGGCCCGGGTGGCCCCGCCGCGCTGTGCCCGGTCCGGGCGGCTCTGCCGGCGGCCCGGGGTGCTCCCCTCCGCCGTCCGAGCGGGGCGGCTCTCGCAGGAGGCGGCGCCATGGGGCTGCACGGCGTCAAGGCGGTGTTCTTCGACCTGGACAACACGCTGATCGACACGGCGGCGGCGGGGCGGCGCGCCATCGAGGAGGTACTGCCCTTGTCCCCCTTCCGACGCGGGGCCCGCGGCCACCGCGGCTCCCGGCCCGGTCTGGTCTGGTCTGCGGTGCCGCGCGTGTCCCGCTGCCTCCTCCTGGCTCTGCCGGCGGCCCGGGGTGCTCCCCTCCGCCGTCCGAGCGGGGCGGCTCTCGCAGGAGGCGGCGCCATGGGGCTGCACGGCGTCAAGGCGGTGTTCTTCGACCTGGACAACACGCTGATCGACACGGCGGCGGCGGGGCGGCGCGCCATCGAGGAGGTACTGCCCTTGTCCCCCTTCCGACGCGGGGCCCGCGGCCACCGCGGCTCCCGGCCCGGTCTGGTCTGGTCTGCGGTGCCGCGCGTGTCCCGCTGCCTCCCCCGCTAACAGGCGGCCGGGCGCCGCTCCCGGGAGCGCGCCGCGCGGCCCCGCAGCGCCCTGACGCGCGCCCCCGCGTCCCTTGCAGGTGATCGGCGCCCTGCAGTCCAAGCACCACTACGGGGAGGGAGAGGCCCGCGCCGTCTGCGATAAGGTCCAGGCCAAGCTCCTCAAGGAGTGCCACGATCCCGCCAAGATGTGCATCACAGACCTGCGGATTTCGCACTGGGAGGAGGCGATCCAGGAGACCATCGGGGGGGAGGCGAACCGCGACCTGGCGGCCGAGTGCTATTACCTGTGGAAGACGACGCGGCTGCAGCACCTGACGCTGGCCGAGGACACGCGGGCCATGCTCACCGAGCTGCGGAAAGGCCTCCGCCTGCTGCTCCTCACCAACGGCGACCGGCAGACGCAGAGGGAGAAGATCGAGGCGTGCGCCTGCCAGCCCTACTTCGATGCCGTCGTTGTGGGGGGAGAGCAGAAAGAGGAGAAACCGGCGCCATCCATATTTCATTACTGTTGCGATCTCCTGGGGGTGCAGCCCGCAGAGTGTGTGATGGTCGGTGACTCTCTAGACACAGATATTCAAGGAGGCCTGAATGCTGGCTTGAAAGCAACGGTCTGGTTAAACAAAGCAATGACTGCCCCAGTAGATACCTCCCCTGTACCTCATTATGTTATTGCTTCTATACTGGATCTTCCAGCAGTGTTACAGAAGATGGAGCACAACGCTAATGCTGAGTTCGAAACTGACCGTATGGCTAGTAGAAATGAAGCACATTGATGATGTTCCAGCATACAGAGACCTGCTGAGCTGTTAGGTGACGGATGCTCTTTTTAAAAGTCTGACCCTAGGAGTTTGAACTCATCTGTGGTCTCTTTTAAACAGCAGAGGGACGAATAAGAGTACAGTTGTCAGTGAAAACCAGACAGAAGCACAAAATTATATTAATTTAAATGATGCAAGTTAATTTAAAGGCACTGCCTCTGTCTGGAAATTATTTTGACAGACCGTGACAGAAGTCTGTCTGTCTCTGACCGAAGTTGCCAGTCTCTTGTATGTATAGTGGAAAAGAAAATTTGAATGTTCTGAGCTTTCACATGCTTTGCTGACATGTAAGCTTGGCAGAAGCTTCAGTTCTGACCTTGTGTGCAGTGTG